CTGTCATCACCATGACCATCGGCAACATTCTCGCAAGCACACTAGGGCTGCTTATTATCTGTGTGGTGGTCTCCGTGGTGTGCTCTGTGATGTCCTTCTGGGCGCTGCCACTTATTATTGCAAAGGCTAACGTGGTGACCTATTTAAATATGGTGATCTATATACAACTGCCGAGTTTGTTGGACGGGTTCTACCTCGCTAAATCCGATTGTCTGCCTGACGGGCCTCACTTCTCAAATACCTTTTATAACACCATTGGCGTGGGTATCATCGGTAACATAGCTGCTTTAGTCGGTATCACGGCGTTCAAGTTCATCTTTTCGACGCGTAGCTATCGTTTTGCCTTGGTCGTCACCACACTCCTATGGATGTTTGCCTCTATCTTTGACATCACCATGCTCCAACGCTGGAATATCAAGATCGGCATTCCCGATCACGTCATGTACATCTGCGGTGATGCCATTATTGGACAAGTGTGCTACATGCTTTCGTGGATGCCAATGACTATACTGTTGTCGCGTCTGTGCCCGCGCGGCTCCGAGAGCACGGTGTATGCACTCCTGTCTGGATTTTCGAACCTCGGCCAGTCTACTAGCTCCTCGATAGGTGCCATCCTGATGGAGTACGTGTGGCCCATCAAAAGTAACCCGCCGTGCGACTTCAGTAATGGCGTGTGGCTCGTCGTCGTCGGCCACGTCCTCACCCCGCTGCTGATCATCCCGCTGAGCCTGTTGCTGCCAAATGCTCGTGTGTGCGACGACATCGACATCGATGGTAACGTGGTGTCCAAAGAGCTGCATGAAGAGCCCCGCGCGAGGCCAGTCAAAGACAGTAACGAAAGCCAGTGAAGGTCTCACAGCGTGGATGGCAGGCAGGATGGGGTGGCTCTGGAAGGCGACGCGGTCCAGGAGTGCGGACGAACCCTCCAGTAGCCTGCTTTCCTTTCCCTTTTGCCTGCTTTGCCCTCTGTAATGAGCAAGGAAGAAGGGTAGGATATATCTGAGAGTAAGGAGGGCAAGTAGCACACAATTCAAGTGAACTACACGAAACGAACAACAAGCTATTGTTTTATCTTGCTTTACTCTTGCTTTTTTTCCTATTTGCTTAATTCATCTCGAGTACGTAATATCTCTAGTATAGAAGAACCTTTCTGACTATAAAATAGGTATAAATAAAATTACTCGATAAAGTATTTTTGCTTTCCTTACTTTTTCCTCCTCTCTGTCTATTAATGGTACCAAAAGCAAATGAACGCTAAGAGCAGTGGGCCGTTCTGGGACACCGGTATACCTTGCTTTCGCCGCCCA